GTGTCATCATCTTGTTATCTTACCTCTTTAAGCAGCAGGTGTTCTTTTGATTCTTTAATGTTCTTCCCCATTGTGGTCCCCCTTCTCTGTTATATCCCTACTAGAGGCCCAGTGCACGAAATTTGTGCACGGGGGCGGGAGGGTTGTCCTTCAGCCCGGCCTGCACCCTCTCTAATCTGGGACCCCTTGGGGGATGTCCGATTGATAGGGCCTAAACCAGCAGTCAGACATCCCTCTCACAATCCGGGACTGCTATCTCCTAACCACTTGCCTGACTGCCAGCCTGATTGCCCCCTAACTGCTCCCCTGCTGGCCTGATCGCCCCCAACTGCCCTCCCCTGCTGGCTTGATCACCCCCAGCTGCCCTCCCCTGCAGGCCTGGTTGCACCCAACTGCCCTCCCCTGTGGGCCATCTTGTGACCATCTTGTGGCGGCCATCTTGTGACGATGTCGTGTGAGGGTGTCACGCGACGCCACATAGGCTTTTATTATATAGGATGGTCCTTCATTGTCTTGCAGTTCACCTTTCTTCCCCTTTTAACAATTCTCAATTAAAACTCTCATTTCTTTCAGGCAGCCAATTACAGCTGGTGGCCAGAGAGCAAATCTGACCCCTAGAGTGAATAAAAAGTGATATGTTTTCTGGCCTGCTTATAGAATTATTTGTCTTTTTAGAAGAGTGTTTGTTAAACCAAATGAACCTCCTATTTTTAATGAATCAGATGATAAAATAGAGATGAGTAAACAATTTGAGAGGCTTGGAGGATGACATTTTTTGGAAAGGGGAGACCCAGCCTTGCTTGCTTGGGAGTTTGCCTCTGTGGTTAAAGCAGGGTCTGCTTTTTATGGCTTCTTCCTCTCCTCCACTCGCTGATTCTCTCAGGGTTTCTGTGTATGTCCATCAAGATTCTTTTGCAGCACAACAGGAAGTCCCATATGTGGGAGAAATGTGCCGGGTCAGAGATGGGTTGGGGGGTGAGGGTGGGAGAGTGGGGGCTCTTTGGTTTCATCAGTTGTTTGTCAATTGAATATGAATTGAGAACTAACTATACACAGGTATTTTATTTGGGAAGTTGCACCTGCAGTTGGGGGATACAAAGAATGGAGGATGGTTGACCTTTGTTCCTGTGTATGTTTCACTTGCACTCTGTTCATGCAGATGGAGGCAGGGAAGTTCTGCATCATGGTAATGCTGAAAGGCCAGCATCACACAGAAGATCACTCCGGGCTCCTAATTAAAATTATGGCTGGGAATTGCTTCCTTATGCGTAGCTCAAATTGCCTTCACAATCATTTCACTTTATAACTTTTAGTTAATCCTCTCCTCACCACCCTCAAGAATCCCTTCCTCGTCCTTGAAGTTGACTCCTTTGAAATCTTTATGGGCAGTCCTGGTTCCCCCTGAGCTATGGGTATCCTGATACTTTGTTCCCACAAGGCCTCAAGTTTGTAAGCAAAAACAGTCTTCGCTCCCTCTTCTCCCATTGCACTTTTAATGAGTTCTGGGTCTGGAACACGACTGGATTTCATGTTGCGGTCAGTGTTATAAATTAGCGGAGCCTTGCTGATCCTCATTCTCCCTAATGAATTCGTTGCTAACTGTCTTTCAGGCCAAGACTGCCACATACTGTTTACCCTAATTAGTATTCTCTAATGGTAATCAGGTGACCAATAACTCACAGGTTTTACAAAATGAGCACTTATTATTCCATTTCACCAGTTTTAGTAGGAAAATTACATATAATGATATTCTCCTTGGGATTCCAACTAAGAAGTGTTTTTTTAGCCAAGAAACATCTGATCACGAGAACAGTATGACCAAAGAATTGTGTTTTTTAATCAATATTGTATGTGGTCAGCCCCGGACCCATGTGTTCCAGGTGAGATTGCTTAGTACAATAAATTTGAAGGTTTCCGTGTTGAATTTTTTCTCGCATTGAATTTTAAGAATTGCAGCAAACAGTAGTACATTGAGAGAACCATGCTGTTGCTTCAGTAGAGGAAACCTTTGAGAAAGAATGCCCATGGCAAAGCCACAGCTCGGTTTTCCAACCCGGAGATTAGAAAAATCAGGCAATATTTGATTCTCTAAAAGAATGGTTACAGAACTCTTAGCAAATTGTAGGATACTGCTCTGGGATAAGCTCTGCAGATTTGTGGTTGGTGCTGAGAATGCTTATGTTGGTCATTTGTTGAATGAACAAAAGAATGTTGTGTCCTTGTGTCCAGAGCTTTGTCAATATATGCAGAGGGCAGGGTGGAGGGGCCAAATATCTGTCTTTTTTGCTTGTTTTCTACAGGAAAAAGGGAAGGAAAATGAGATGATAATTATAATTTTCAGGATGTTTAAAATTTTTATAACCATCTAGTGCATACTGTGGTATTATTTATGTAAGGAGAGAAGATTGTGGTGAAATAAAACATGCTTTGGAAAGGGCTGGCCAAACTTTCATTATTTCCCTAACCTTGGGTACCAAGAGGAAAGTTGGTTGTGCATAGTCAGGTCATTTATATAGATGCTTTTGTTGAAGTGACCGAGAACAGTTTTGAGGGCTTTCTGTCCTTGTGAATGTACAAATCACAGACCTACAGTTCAGTCATATTTTACTTAGGGTGCTCAGTCTTACAGAAACGATTGAGCAATTTTTAATGGTAAGAATAATTAGGCCAGAAGGGATCAATGGGGGGTGGGAGGGAAGGGGACATATGTGTAATACATTAAACTAAAGATTTTTTTTAACACAGAATAATTTGGCTTAGAAACTATTGTGATAGGTCAGGGCATCTTAAAAATTTTCGGTTACAAATTCCCTCTCCCCTCCTCTCTGAACTCAATAAAAATATATTAAAAACTAAAAATAAAAAAAATTTTTTCGGTTACATTAAAAACTTAGAATATCTGATGTCAGGTCTGGGAATTTTTGTTTCCAGTCATGGTGGGTTCTTTGACTTGATGATGATAAGCCCAGTGTGTGACCATGCCCATCACTCTCAAAGAGCTGTTACTCGAAGAATTCCCACAATAGATCACTTTGACTTGGCATGATCATAGTAAGGAATCCTGGGGTGGGATTCAATTGTAAAGCAGTTCTCAAGCCAAATATTATATGGTTAAATTATTCCCTGTTCTTTGGCCCACCACGCATACATTTTGTATTCTGTCCAATCTCCTATTGTGTTCAAAAGATTAAGGGATGTGGTGGGAGGACTACGAAATGGTGAGTGAGCACCGTGTCAGAGAGCTAGCTCCCACCTGGACTTTGGATGACGTTGGAGTAGTACTTTAGAGCTTCACATGTATTATCCCACTTGGCCCTTGGAAATCAGCAACACAGATATTATTTATTAGCATCATTTTCCAGATGAGGGAACAACATACAAAAATGAAAGGGTTTACTTAAGTTTGCATGGCTACTAAATGTTGCAGCTATTGCAGGCTCTCTGATAGCGGGTCCTATAGGGAGTGTGAATGTGGCCTAGTCACATAAACTCATGTTTAAAAAATATGCAAGTATTTGCTTTTCAAGTTATGGTGTGTGTATTCTGTGAAATGCATTTATGTTTTGACCACTTCCTGGTTGAATAGAATTAAAGTTTACAGACTCTCAGGGCATGTAAAAAAAATGTTTGGTCTCAATTTTATTTCAGTAGAGTCTTTTAGCCCCCTTTGAATTCAATTAGAAAACCTTGGTCTAATAAATTTTATTAAAGTAAATACTTTGTTATATTAATACACTGTATATATGTCTACAGGCCTTCAAGTAATGTATATACATTCATTAAAATGAACTAATGAACTAATAAAACTTACTAATAAACTGTATCTATGTTAAATCATTGTAATAAAAACAATAATGAGATTTTTAGCATACTTATACAAATGGTACAAATATTTGTATTTATGCAGTGGCCACATGAATATAATTTTAATTTCTTGATTAAAAAACAACCCTTAGACAGTAAAGTTAATGTTTAGACCTCTGTCATTTTATACTTAAAAGAATCAAGGAATGGTAGAAGGATTTTGACAGTGTTTTTAGATATAAAAAACACATCATACAATAACTACATGTACTCTGTCCCCACTATTTAAATAAAAAGTGTGTGTGTGTGTGTGTGTGTGTGTGTGTGTGTGTGTGTAGAGTCAGCAAGTTATCTGAAAGAATATAATGCACTAAGTAATCTCAGCTGGCAGGACTGTATGTATTTTTACTTCCCCCCTTTTGCTTTTCCATTTTTCCCCCCAAAGAACATGTGTAATTTTGTAATCAGAAGAAGTTACTTCGTCAAAAGTTACTTTAATGAAAGATATACAAACTTCTTCTCAGCTACAATTCTCCAACTTTGACACACACATAGAGAAAAAAGGAACTTGTAGTACTTTTGCTGTAGTATTGCTTTATTTTCCTGAGTGAAAAAAACACCTCTCTCATTACCCCTTTTTAATACCCCTTGGAAGAAATTACCATGTTGGTAATTTAACTACAAATCACCCAGATGTGCTTATTCAACAGGCAGAATGCTGGACCCCAATTTACATGAATCAAATGTTTGGTAAAGGGGCCCCAAAATTTGCATTTTTATCAGGCATCACAAATTATTCTAATGCCCAATTCATTTGAGATTCACTCTTCTGTTTAAAGCATCTCCTAGATTCTTTTTTTCATCTTCAAAGTTGTTGAACGGATGCCCACACACATTCATTTTATTGTCAGGAACACTAAGAGATTAAGTGTTCTCTCTTAATATAAGAATTTGATGGAGTCATTTATTCCGCAAGGATTTTTGGAGTATTTACAGCGAGTCCTCCTTTAAGATCCTCTAGTCGCCACCCTAGGGAGCACCTGTGGTTTAGGACAGAGCCCTGACAGTGTTGGAATGGGTCCAGGAAGAGAGACTAGATCCCACAACTCAGTGACTATCAGACCCTCTCTCAGAAGGCTACACCAAATGAGTTTCCTAAAGAGTAACTATCTTTCTTCTTTTCATTTCTCTCTTAGCTGGAACAATTGGTTATTTTAAGAAATCAGTAAATCAGCATCTTGTGTCCTGAGTGGTGCATTCTTTGGAAAAAGTTACTGTGTCAGGAATTCACACAAATTAGTGTGTTTATTTTGAATGCATGCCATCATGCTGAAGGTACAGTGCAAAGATCCTCGGTTTGCTGTTGATTGAAATAATCTGCAGCAAGTTAGTGCTAAGCATAAACTCAGAGACACACCATCTTGCTGAATTGGCTGGGGAAGGTGGCTCTCTAATTTAGCTTGCGTAGAACCACCTGGACGGCTTATTAAAACACAGATTTCTGGGCCCAATGCCAGATTTCTAATTCAGTGAGTATGGGGCTAGGCCCCATAATAGGCATTTCTAATAAGTTCTCAGGTATTGCTGATGCTGCTTCCAGAACCCAGGCCTAAAAGAAACATCTTAGCAACTCATACTGCAGTCACATGTATAACCTGTTGATTTTTAACTCAAAATTTTATAAAGCTTCCTTGAACTGGCATTAGATGCTGCAAATAACGGGGAATCCTCTTTTGAATAGAGTGGGTGGCCACTTTTTTTCTTTTTGACATTTGTCTCCACTTTGATGAACTAAACTGTTGGGCACTTTTATTTTCTTTTTAGACTCCCAGCTTAATGAGGTTCTAGTGATATTTCTCTTTAAGAGTCAATAGGAATTAAGGCAAAGCCTGGTGAAATGTTTATATTACCCTATTTTTTAACACTTCCTGAAATCTTATGTGTTTCTTGACTTCTCTCTCCCCTTCACTAAGGAGGTGAAGATAGGAATTTTTTTCTTATTCACCACTGTCCAGCACCTAGGTCATTGCCTGATAAATTGTAATCCTATATAATAAAAGGCTAATATGCAAATTGTCCCCTCCAGAGTTCGACTGCTCGCCATGACATGTGCTGACCATCAGGGGGCAGCGCAGAATGAAGGAAGGCCCTGGCCGGCAGCCGGAAGGCCCCAATCGGCCCTGATCACTGGCCAGGCCTAGGGACCCTACCCATGCACAAGTTTCATACACCGAGCCTCTAGTCTATATATATAAAAGGCCAATATGCTGTGTCCCTCCCACCGTACAACCGGTCACTATGACACGCACTGACCACCGGGGGCAGATGCTGAACACAGGAGCTGCCGAGCTGCAGTGACTTGGCAGCGGCGGTTCTTGGGGGATGCACCCCGAGACCAGAGAGGAGGGAGCCCAATTCCTCATGGGGCCCTGCGATTCCACCTTCGGCCGTGGGTTATGTTGTTGCTGGGGCACTGTCGGCCCCGAATCTGGTTTACTGCACACTTGTGTTTGCATTCCACACCCTGTATGACAGCAACTTTGCAGAGTGCCCTCTCTCACTCCAAGACCCCGCTTAGGGGATGTGAAAGAGCCGGTTTCGGCCTGATCCCCATAGGCCAGACCAAGGGATCCTGCTCACTCCACAGACGCCAGGGAGGGACCACGGGAAGTTGGCTCCAAGGTATGTCCAGCCCATCTTGTTCAGTCCCGCCCCGCAGGCCACCTTCCATTTAATTTCCTTTCAGTGTGTACAGATCTATGCACCAGGTCACTAGTTATGCCATAAATACGTGTTGCTTGAGTAAATGAAAGCATAGCAAGCACATTGCTTTTGCTTGGAATGGTGTATTATTACGGTGGCTTTGGAGCCTGATGGTGATTTTGAGGGGCTACACCCTTCCTGTCCCTATAGGTGTCTCTTCTTGGTGCCTCTATTGCCGGAGCTTCTCTTGAATTGCAGGACAAGGCTGGAACGAGGTTGAAGGAGTGCTTTATTTGGCAGTTTTGAAGGGAATTTGTCTACGTGGCCTCTGATGGAATCATCTAAAGGTCTGGTATTACTTGCAACCAGACCAACTTTTCTTTGTGTTGGGTTGACAAATCCCTTGCATCCTCTGATTGAACTGTAAGCTGAAAGCACGAGAAACAATTATAATGTGATTCAGCAAAGCCAGGCTATATATCATTTTGTTAGTTTATCTAACGATTGCACTGGTGTGTGGGCAGTGGTAAGGTGAGACAGAGAGGACAGGTAAAGGAAGATGGCAGCCCAGGTATCTTGCAGTTGGTCCAAAGGGAATATTTTTTTAAAAAAATATTTTTATTGATTTCAGAGAGGAAGGGAGAGGGAGAAAGAGACAGAAACATCAGTGATGAGAGAGAATCATTGATCCCCTGTCTCCTCACACCCCACACTGGGGATCCAGCTAGAACCCTGACCTCCTGGTTCATAAATTGAAGGTCAACCACTGAGCCAAGCCTGCTGGCCTGGCAAAGGGAAATTCTTAATTCTGATGCTTGGAACACCAGAATGATGTTGATCACGGGATCTTTTTGTATCAGCATTATCAACATTTACATTCACTTTACACATTGGATTTGCATCTGAAAAGACCAACTATAATCAACATTTAAGGGATAATACTTATATTTGCATATGATTGAGCAGACGTGTTAAGTCATTTTAGCTGGCTGTTGCTAGGAAACCAATTAATAATGCTCTACATTTCATTAAAAATTGGGTTCTATCTTTGCTTTCACTTAACTTCACATTTACTGAGCTGCTTATGCTCCCTCAGTAAATTGTGACAGATAAATGATCGTTTTTACTAAATTTACTTCTGTGATTACAGTTGTTAGTCATATCTGTCAATACAACTTCAAAGCTTTTTAAAAAATGTTTTAGTGAGGAAAACTGAATTTTAACTGTTAATCATTTTTTTTCCTCTATAGCTTATGGGAACCTGAGTCATATTTTTGTAAAGGTTTCACGAATTGTGGGTTAACACAACAGCAATTAAAGCAGTCATCCCTGCTCCATAATTGCACCTTCCCAGTGTGGTGACTAATAATTAGAATAGTCGTCATTATTCAGAAAGTGACAGACAGCTGATTAGGCATTCAGCCCATTTTGTTTCTCTCTGTTTTTCCATGGCTTGTGGGCTAGGCCAGGATCTGTCCTTCCTGCAGTGCAATTAAAATTTTCTTGACAATTTTACATAATAGACTCCTGCTCTTATGAAGAGAAAATACATTTTCAGCCCAGTAGAAGTGCCTCTTTGAACCAATCACTGGGCAGTTGTATTTAAATTGTAATGACATTTTGCAGTTTAGCATTTTGTAGTATTGATCGGGTCCAAATGCTCATTAAAAAGCAAATTAGTTCCTATTCACATCTGTTTCACAGTATTTCAATCAGGTTACTTGGGTAATGCATACAAATTCATCTGGTTCTTCAGTTTGACTCACAGGGCGATCTTGCCCTTTCTCTGAGGGATAACTAGGAAGACAGGAATTTGGAAGCAGGTAGCCCTGGAGTTAAGTTCTGCTCCAGCCCCTTGATTCTGTGGCTCTGTGCCTCAGTGTGCTCATTTTTCAAATAAAGAAAAAAGGATGGCACTGGAGAGAAGACAGCAGCTAGGATTGTAAAGAGTGGGGCGGCGCCCTAGCCGGTTTGGCTCAGTGGATAGAGCATCAGCCTGCAGACCGAAGGGTTCCAGGTTTGATTCCGGGCAAGGGCATGCACCTTGGTTGCAGGCTCCTCCCTGGCCTGGGCCTTGGTCAGGGCTAATCAATGTGTTTCTCTCAAATTGATATTTCTCTGTGTCTTTCACTCTCTCTTCCACTCTCTCTATAAAAATCAATGGAAAAATATCCTTGGGTGAAGATTAACAAAACAAACAAAAAAAAAGTGGGGCAGGCAATGGGTACTTGCAAACATCCCTTCTTTCCCTCAAGAGCTGCTTAGGCACTGTATTAGTTTGCTTGGGCTGCTATAACAAAGAACCACAGATTGGTTGGCTCAAACCATAGAAGTTGATTTTCTCACAGTTCTGGAGACTAGAAGTCCAAGATCAAGGTTTCCACAGGGATGGTTTCCTCTGAGACCTCTCACCTTGGCTTGTAGGTAACCATCTCCTCCCTGTTTTCATATGCTCTTCCCTCTGTGTGTGTGGGTCCTGATCTCCTCTTCTGAGATAAGGACACCAGTGAGATTGGATTAGAGCCCACCCTACGGCCTGGTTTTAACTAAATCACCTCTTCAAAGGCCCTATCTCCAAATGCAGTCACATTCTGAGGTATTGGGGGTTAGAACAGTGATTCCCAAAGTGGGCGCTACCCCCCCCCCCCCCAGCGATCCAGGGGGGCGGTGATGGCCACAGGTGCATTTGTTTTCTTTTTTTGTATTACCTTTCTATTCTGAGTTCAATAAATAGTTTCATAATTTCAAACTTCAATGTTTCTAATTTACACCTTTCTTTACTATATTTTATGAAAAAAAAGGTAGAATTAATACATACATCTTTCTGTTTAATTGCTATTATAATTTTAAAAAAATTAATTTCCAGGGGGCGCTGAGTAATATTTTTTCTGGAAAGGGGGCTGTAGGCCAAATAAGTTTGGGAACCACTGGGTTAGAACTTGAACATAAGAATTTTGGGGGACACAATTCAGGTCATAACGGGCACTAACCAAGAACTGGCACCAACATAACTTGCTGTTGCTGTCTCCAGTCCACTTGGTTTGGGTCTACTCAGTGGTCAAAACATCAACTGAAAAGGAGTCAGGAAATGGGATTTGGTTGTGACTTTTCTGGTTAGGTCACAGTTTATCAGAAACATTCACTAATACTTAACACACACACCTTTATTTTTGGTTCTTATATCAACCTTTGTAAATATATGCTAAGGCCACTTTTCATGACCTCAGTAATACATGAGGGTCATCAACCTTAGGATCTTAAGATCCTTATTTTTACCCTTCATTGTTTCCAGATGTGGCTATACACATTGTCGGTGATAGGTATAAATGTCCATTTCCCTTTTGAAATGAATTGTGGAGAAGTGTTTGACTCTGAGGTGGCTTGTAGGAGTCAGGCTCTCGGGCCAATACACAAATGGGCAATTGGAATTCAGTGACATAAATACTATAGAGAAGGTCATTTATTCATTCAGCTAATACTTTTTATACCTACTGTGTGCCTTTGAGCTAGTCACTGTGGTTGCAATGATAAAGAAAAATGGCCTGAGCAGGAAAGGCATGTAATGTGAAGGTGTGAATAACGCTGGGGATGGGGATAGCTTTCCTGGTTCACCTGAGATCTGAAGGGTGGTGAGGCTTAGTTTGATGATGGTTGCGCAGTAGGGGCTGTGGTGCTGGGGGTGGTCATGAGTTGCAACATTTCAGGAGAGCAGACTGCATGTGCAAAGGTCTGGATGTAGAAAGGAGCTCAATGTGGAAGGCAGGAACTGAGTAGAGGGCAGGGCAGCTAGAGGAGGGTGCAGTAAAGGAGGTGTGGTGGGAAATATAGCTGAAAATCCTTCTGAGAAGACTGGGGGAGTTGGAAAAGGCTTCCTAGGGATGTGACAGCTGTAGCTTTAAGTATAAATATAACTTTTTCCCTGGTAGATCAAAGGGGGAGCATTTTTAGACAGAGAGGGTATCAGTAACTTGGTATGTTCAGTGTGTCTGAAATGTCACTTATATGAAGGAATCCCATCATTCCAGTTCATGGAAGGTCATACTTCAGTGGGTTAGGCTAATAGAAGTTTGCTAGGTTTGCCATATTTTGATGTGTCTGCCTACACCTATGCAGGGACTCATTACTAAGTAGAGGATGAATGAATGAATGCTCTGTTACTGAGTGGGTGGTGCTCCAGGGTTGACCTAACCTTAGAAGCAGTGGCACATTAGTGTGACATCTGTCCAGGTCTGGTGAACTATTGGAAGCTCAGCTGCACTGACATCTTGGGCCCTGCGGTCCCCCAGCCTGTGTCTCTTCCTCTTCTGCGGATCTGGGAGGGCTCCTTAAATCCTGCTCACTGGCCCAGTGTCACTTGAGTTGCCAGAACCAGTCCCAGCTGGAAGCAGGAGAGACAGAAAGAGCCCCAGCCTACGGTGTGGG